ATAGAGAAGTGCAAGCTAGGGAAAAGGAACGCATACAAGCAATGGTACACAATTATCTGATAACCAAAAATGCTGCAAAGAAGCCTGCCAAGAAAGTAAAAGAGGCACACATAGGCTTTGCAACGAAATGGAATCTTGTTAGGAAAAGCGAGAGATATAGCAATTCGTGGTCTGCAAGAGATATGGAGCACATAGCCAGTACAACATACCAGCCAGTCCAGCTAATGAGTGGCGCCAAAAGACCTTCGAAAAAGTAGTTAAGACAGTTTTGAGCGATAATAAATTGTTACCGTCGGTACGGATTTAAAAGTACGGTACAGTTCGCTTTCCACATTGTATGGATAATAGAAATATAGGGAAAGAAGAAAACAGTTACATGCAACTCTCTTAAATATGGAGTGCTTGGCAAGGTACCTGTCATGGACGTCATGCATTGCGAAGTCACTTAGTTTTAGAGCATCCAGTGGATAAAGATTATCTACCACGGCGTATATTAAAATCGGCGTTCTCTCCTCTCCTCTTCATCATGTTTATGAAAGCGGTGTTGGAAGGGCTTAAACCACACCTCACGGGCTCTTTACGTAGATGATGTGCTTCAGGTAGCAGAAATTAGAATGGAATTTGATAAGAGTGTAAAAAATGGAAATATCGGTTAGAGTACTGAAGCTCAAGCAAAGAAGAGGAGTAAGTGGGAAGTCAATCTGTGAACCATATGTCGATGCTGAGCCGAACAAGCAAACTAGTTCCTTTGAGTATCTAGAGAGGAATCTCCGCTGAATGAGAAATTTATGAGAGGCGCTCAACCAGAATGGGTGCAGCTTGCATGAATTGGAGAACCTTCAGAGGAGCTCTCTCTGATAAGCGGATGTCATTGAAACTCAAATCCGAAATTCATACTGCGATTCGAACGGAAGCACTGTGTGGCAGTGAATTTTTGTCAATTACGCGAGAAAGGAACACAACGCAGTTACAAGATAAGAACGTTACGGTGGAATAGTTCTCTTTTTAAGATCATTTCATTAATAGTTCAAGCTAAGATGAAGTTTGCTTCTCAAGAAGATGCACGAAAGTGCGATAGTACTGGTATGTGAAGAGGGCAGATAAGCACACAAAAGCAATGTTGTGCTTCTGAAAAGACCACGAGGAAGGACAAAAGTGCGAAATGGATGGACAAGATCAGAGCTGACTTGATAGAACTTGGAGTAGAGACACATCTTAAATCAAATAGTGTAGAGGCATTTGATTCGTCTAATAAACACAGAGAGAGTGGGGAATTGTGAGGAAAAGTCAATCATCCTGTCTTCAAATTTTAGATTGCGCCAGCCTATCTAAAGATAGGTGGCTTACATAGAACTAACATATCAATCTTCTCCCTCAGAGGCAACCTTGTTCTAACAGAAAAGAGGTTACTGGCACACCTAGTCATACAGTCACACTTTTGTTCTTTTTAAAATTTCTAATTTTTTGAATCTTTCTATTCAGCATGAATAAAAAATGAACTCAAAACAGATAGTTTTTGAAAACGTACTTGTTCGGATGGAGGTGATGGTGGTTCCTCTTTAACTACTATTTCCATTGGCAACATATTTTTCTTGCTATCATTCTGTTCGTCCTTTCTGCTCGTCTAGAGTTGGACAATGAAAAATTAGTGGTTTTAATCTGTGAGTTGTCAAACATGACAACCTTTTCTGGTGTAACAGGCTCCTCCTTGATCACTGGAGATGATGTTTCGAAAATATCATCATCTTGTTCTATCTTAACAAACGCTTCACTTCTGTTCGTAACTTCATCGTGTAGTTCAGCTTTAACAGTTTTTCCCTCACAACTGAGAAAATCTAAAAGTTGTTTTGGTTAGATTAGGGCTATACATATAGCAGATACAATTTCAGAAGTTTTGAACTAACCTTGCTTTTTGCCAAATTTGTCATTACATTCAACAATTCTACTCTCTGTTTTGGAATATTTGCGGCAACTTACAGACTTATTACGATGTCTAAAGTATTTTAAATGATTTTCGTAGTTGCACTGAAGGGCAAAGTTTACTCACTCTCCAACATGTGATCTTGTTGTTCCTTGCGTGTCATGAGAGTCCTTCTGTAAGTCCACTCTTTCAGATATTCCGTGTACAAGACGTAGATGAGCTCTAAAAAGAGGATATAACTATAAGAGATATCCCATCAATGCAACACGAGACAGTATCATACCTCCATTCGTCATTGCTTTTCAGGTCCATCCTACACCCACTGATGGGACATGGTGACACATCTCTCCTTCCATCAGCAAGTTCTGAAGAAAACTAACAGTTCGCTGTTCATTCTCAAAGTTCTATTGCATAGTTCAATGACCGAAATTTGGATGCTTGATTCAAGATGAAATTTGAAAAATAAAGGAGAACGAAAGACCAACTTTGTCATTTTGTCACATCTATTCTGAGAAATCTATTCTGCAAAATTTAGCAGTCAGTGATTTATACATCTACTTTCAACTATCTTCTGTTTGTTATTATGTAAGGTCGCTGTTTATACAGCGTGTGCTCTTAATCATTTACTATGTAGTTCCGCGTGAAAAAGAGAGGAAAGGGAAACAGCATGAAGAATGGTGCACTAAATGCACTCGCCAGCCGTTTTCATGAACTGCTTTACAAGTTAGTTGGCATACCTTGTCCAAATCTTGACTTTCGGTAGTGATTAAACGTCAGTCGCATAGGTCCCTCTTTTCTGCACGGATTAGGATCGTAGGGGGTGACGAAGAGCCTGGAGCTAATTATTGTGATCCAAAAAGGTAGGAATATACACTAATAAACAAACCTGCATATTTCACTCAAGGTTGGGTATGTCAATTGAGGGGGCTTACCGTCAGAATCTCTTTGTCTGGCCATTTTTGAGCTTGTAATGACAGCTGAAAAAAATCCTTTACAGGAGATATCAGACACATAGGGTTCAAGCAGTATTAGTAATTTGGATTTGGAAGTGGCGCAGAGCCCCCGTGATGGTCTACCGCCTCATCGTGGCGCGAGGGTGACTCTGGGTGTCGAACTGCGAAGTACAGC